GTCTTCTGCTAAGAACCCAGGCAGGTTAGTATGACTCTTTATATGGAACACATAATATGGTTGAATTCGCTTTTGAATGAGCTGCCATAAGAGTTTCAGAACTCCAAATAGTAATTGATTTGAAATATGTCCAAGGACCGCCTAGTCTAATTTCTGTAGTAACCCTGCGATGTAAGCAGAGTCAGTTACCACATTCACAGCTTGTGGGAACCATTGAAATGCCAATGTAATGGTTTGCAGTTCCACAGTTTGAGGAGAAACTTGTTGGTGCTTAATCAGGTGTTGCCATTGTTGTCCATCAAACCAGGTAGCAGCAGCTTTACCTGTTTTTCCTGATCCATCAGTAAACACTGTAGGACCATCAACAGGTTCCTGCTGACTTAATTGGTTTTGGCCAATTGGTATGTGAATTCCCATTTTACAGAGCGGATGAGAAGGAAAGTAATAACTAAATTGTCCTGTAAAGTTCATTAATGCAGCTTAGAGTTCTGAGAAATTTGCGAGGCAACATTCAAAGTACTCATTTTGCACAGGTATAACTATGTGTTCTGGATCTTATGCCAATAGTTCTGTACATCTCGTCCAAATTTATATTATGATTTGGGCCAATAATTCAAACAACCCTGGGGCAGTTTTCTTTGGCTGAAATGGTAAAAAGATCCATTCCAACACATGGAGATGATTTTCCCATTCCTGGTTCCATTGGGCAAGCATGGTAAAGGGCGTCATACCATCAATAAACACAAGTGTTTGTAATGATACAGATAAATCAATGCGCCAAACATGTCTTTCTTGAATGGCTTTCTCTACCATTTCAATTACACATTTGACATCTGAAGTAAAAATCCTGGATGCTGCAATATCTACAACTCCTTCTAGCAAGTCTACTAAAGGCTGTAGTTGTGATGATGACAGAACTAAAAAAGTTCTCATCCAATTTATGACACCAACTAGCTTCTGAACATCATTGAGTGTTTTGACATTAGTCACCAATTTAATTGCTTGGGGTTGTACTGTTCTATCAAGTACTTTCATTCCCAAGTAAAGCCAAGGCTGAGTATGTTGTATCTTTTCAGGAGCAATAACTAGGCTGTAATCCTCTAATGCTTGCCTAGCTTCATGCTCCATGTGGTCCAAGAGTGTAGGTGTTGCAGCAGCCAACAGAATATGTGGAGTGGCTGGAAGAAAATAGGCATGTTGTGAACGATTCAGACCGAGGGGCCTCACAACTGCAGCTGTTGTGAAGGACATATGCAAAGTCGAAAGAGATAATGAAATTGGGGTTTTGAGAAACTGTCTATGTTGCAGAGAGGTAAGGAGAATGGAATGTAAAACAAGATAACAAGAGGGAGAAACAGAATGTAGGTACGGCAGAGCAAGGCGTGTGAACAAGCAGCTTTAACCTATTAGCAACCAAAACATAACGCGTGTGCTTTGTGCTAGTGTAGAAATTGCTGTGTATCCTTTAATAAAGTGGCATTAACTTGATCACATTGATCATGCATTTTGTGTCCGACAGTTCCGCGTCAAGAATATCATCCATATAATGGTAACAATAACATTCAAGGTATTTTTGTCAAACAGGGCTCAAATCTTGGGCTACAAACCATTAACATATAGTAGGTGAATTTTTCATTCCTTGATGTAACACTTTCCAATGATATCTTTTTGTAGGTTCGACATGATTGATTGACGGGACTGTGAAAGCAAAATTTTCCCTGTCCTTTTTATCCAATGGGATCATAAAAACCCAATCCTTCAGAGCCATTACTACCATGTTCCATTGCATGGGAATCATTGTAGGGGAAGGCAAACCCAGTTGTAAAGCCCCCATTGCTGCCATCACCTCTAATTTTTTGCAGGTCATGCAGCAATTGCCATTTCCCCAATTTCTTTTGTATAACAAAAACTGGGGTGTTCCAAGGGCTATATGATTCCTCAATATGTCCTGCTAATAACTGTTCCTCTACTAACATTCACAGGGATGTAAGTTTCTTGGTTTTGAGGGGCCACTGATCCACCCACACCGGTTTATCCATAAGCCATTGTAATGCCATTGTCGGTCTTTTGACACCGTGAAAGACAGTGTCCCCTATGGAAAATCCGTGGTTATACAACTCCCCTTTGCCTCCAGCAGTCTCGTCCCCACAAGTTTAGGGGTGCAGCAGTGACATAGGGTCGGACAGTGGCCTTTTGTCCTTCAGAATTAGTAATGAGTACAGGTTTAGCAGCCATAAAGCTGGTTGCCGTGCCTCCCAACCCCATCACCCCAGAGGTGGTGGATACCACAGGCCAGGAATTAGGCCAGTCCCATTGAGCGATAATAGTAACATCCACTCCTGTATCCAACAACCCAGATACCTGGAACATATTTGGTGAGGCACTGTCCATGGCAAGAGTGCACTTCATCTGATAAAGTCTATGATCAGAGGACTTGAGGTTTACCAGTAGATCCGAAGCCTCCAGACCTGCAAATCACTTGTCCTGTCCTGGGAACACAACTCTTAAAAGGCACCAGTTGAGCAATTGGAGCATTTTTCTCTATTGTTACAGGGGGTATTGCAGTAGAAACCATTGCACAAATTTGTCCTTCATAATCTGCATCTATGACTCCCACATGAACCATAATTCCTTGCAATGTGATGCTAGAGCGCCCAATTAATAATGCACTCAGTCCATGTCCAATGGGCCCCCAAGCATTTAAAGGGACTTTGTGTACACCTTATGTACTTACAGTTACTGTGTCGGCAGTGGATACATCCATCCTTGCTGATCCTCTGTTTTTTCCCCTGACAAGAGGTCGCATAAGCTTGTGGCTGTTGGATCACTAGATGACGCTATTGTGCAAGAAATGGGCTGTTCCCGGTGTTGGCAGGTATTTGTGCCTGCACGCACCCTTTCAAGCTCATTTTCCTGTTTCCCTGTTGCAGGGGTTGCCCACTCAGGTGAAATTTAGATCGGCATTGTTTAGCAAAATGACCATTCTTGCCGCACCTGTGGCAAGTGACTACAGCTGAAGCGGCAGCACCACTGTTGTTACTACGTCCATCCCCTTTTTGTTTATTTGGACAAGCTGCTTTCACATGGCCAGCCTGGAAGCAATCATAGCATTTCTGATCCTTAGATCTCATAGCTGTCATGGCAGTATTTAAAGCATCCATCTTACACTCCACTGATCCTACCTTGGCACTGGCAGTGATCACTGTCTCAAGATTCGGTTCCCCTGGCAGCACTTCAATTACACTTTTGGCAGTCTGAATTGGCATTGTCCCGAGCTAATCATGTAACTAGAATCATTCTCAAATGCCTGTCAAAGACCTGTCACTCAACAGCTGCTTGCAGTTTTTCCATGAACTGCAGGAATGGATCTCATGGTCCCTGTTGAATGGTAGTATATCTTGCTTTGGGCTCTGACATTTCTGCTGTCTTTATCAAGGCTTCAATACCAACAGCCTTAACCTGTTCTAACACAAGAGGGTGCCATTGGGCTTGATGTTGTGAATGATTAAACCTTCCTGTACCCGTTAAAATGTCTGAGCCATTGCCATAGCACAGATGATCTTGGGGAAATGGCAAATTTTGTATCACCTGTAAGTCTGCTTTTTGTGTCCAGATACTTCTGAACACAACACACTGGATGGGCTGAAACATACTCTGCGCAAGCTGTGCTATATCATACAGTGTCATTTCCTCCATTGTTAACAATCTGATCAGCTTCATGGTTGCTGGGGAATTAGGAATCGTATTGTGCAACACTTTTTTGGAGGTCTTGAATGACTTTCCAGGTATAGGACCTATGCTCATCCATTATCTCCTGCCCTGGGTTGCCTCTAATTACAGGAAATGACATAGCCATTGAGGGATCTGAACTTGGTGCCATCAAGGGAGTATCTATGACTTCTGATAAATCTCATTGTCCCTCCTCAATGGCTCGTGCCTTTACCTTCTGCCAGAACAATAAAGGGTTGTATGGTCTTACGATAATTCGTTCAGGGGGCAAATCCCAGGCTTGGGGACTAGGCTTACAAGAGGACCACCCCCTCCGGTTTGTTCAGTTACCAGTTCTCTCCGTTTGTTTGACTCACTGTCTTTGCTTGAGGTATCCACTCTGTCCCCCTCTCCTCTCATAGGATCATCCCAATTGTCTGAGTCATCTGGCAAAGGCGGATATAAAAATGCACTAGTTGTTTTTGGTGACTTTTTCACCCCTGAATGAAGCAGTGGGGCAGAAGGTATAATAGGATTTTGATGCCATCCTCTTCATGCAAGTAGGGGACGATTATGGTCCATTTCCTCATCTGAATCATCAGGCAAGAGATTTTTCCACTAGGGCTGCAGAGGCTTTACCTTTGAAGGGACCACAAGCTCTGCCACAGGTTCAGTAGTGCACTCCTCCCAGGATTCACACTGGGATTCAGGCATTATCCCTGCCCCCTGTTCCTCCAGGGGTGCTGCTGCTGTAAGGGCGGGGGCCAAAGCATTATTTTCCACTTGGTCCCTCTGTTCCTTAAAGTCCTTTAAAGTCTCATACAGCAGGAACCACGTAGTTAGGAGTTCCCTAGCCTCCTTCACCCTGTGGGAGGCGTTATCAAACAACTTATCGCCTACCTCCTGCCAGTTCATGTTAAATGATGTTACCGTATTTGCTTCGTATCCTTGTATTTTACTCCATAATAACACCTTTTGTAACATTAGCTTGTCCATCTTTACACCCCTCTTTTTAAATATTAGTTTCTACATTGCGTCTATCATATTTTCCTCTTTTGTTAACGAGGCTCCCATGTTGCCAGCAGCTCACATTTTCAAATGTCTCTTTCTGGATCTGGATCTATCAGCTCTTACCGCCGCTCTCTGCTATGCTGGGCTCTGTCTCCACAACTCTACCCACCATCACATAGCAGCAAGTCTGATGAGAATCACACAAGTCAGGGTCACCAGGTGTCTCTGTTGAGACAGACTCGACACATTCATCAAGTTGCAAGCAAAAGCAAAAGCCAAAAGCCAGAAGCCAAAAGCCCAAGTTTATTGTCTTACAAGCCTTGCATATATATTTCTTAAGCATATGTGTTCTTAGTTTATTAGTCCAACCCAAGCCCAACAGTTCATGATTGGATGACCTTATCCTTCTTGCCACATCCGCTGTTTTTCTTGCAGGGTTTCTGCTGTTCTCATGTTCTGTTAAGTTGTTTACATCTGCAGTCCCAGCCTCTTCTTCTTTCTCATGGGTACACGGCTGTCTTATCAAGCTGCAGTCTCAGCCTCTTCTTCTTTTTCACGGCTACACGGCTGTCTTATCCAGGTTAGTGTCAGTTGTCTCCATCTCGCAGTCCTCAGGCCAGCTGTAGACCCCCATATTATACATTTTTTCTATACTTGACATTGCTCACCCTCACACCCCAATGCTCCCAGGAAGGGCTCTGAGCCATGTGTGATGGTCAGGATCTGCCTTCCCGGGCCTGGGGATCAGGGTTTGACATTTTTGCTTCAGGAAACAAATCCAGGATTTTCTCAGCATTACAGCCACCTGCACAGTGCCTTTGCCTACCTGCAATCAGAGCCTCCAACTATCCGCCCTAAGGAGGCCATGGGGAGGCTTTGTCATTAATGGCCCTCAGTGGGGCCAATCAATGCTTCAAGGTACTTTGGGTTTTGGTTCTGACATTGACTTCTTGAGTACTTTGCTCAGGCTCCTCTCAGTATCTGAGGTTCATGGACTTATGGCCCAGTACACCCTGGGGCACATTAAAATACGGAAAGCCCTAATGAGCTATTTATATTCCTTTCATTTTCTTTAACCTTTCAAGACTGGTACAGTAAATTGGAATAATTTCATAGTGCGCTTAAAGAGGAAGATTTCAGTAAGAACTTAATAAAATTATTTTTTATTTTAAAGGTTATTTTTATGTACTTTTCTGTTTAGAAAAGAGGTGATGGAAGCATTCTGCAATTGATATTGATCCAGCGGGTCTCAGCAGGAGGTCTGGACAGGTAGGAAAAACAGTCTCTTGAGTTCTGACACTGTATGGACAACCTTTCTCCGCACCTCCCCAGCCTCACCATTTCTATCATTGGCCACGTGGGACTTGTCTCACTTTGCCTTCCATCAGACTGCACTGAACTCTGGAAGCTGAATGTTACAGCTCCATTGAACCATCTCTCACTTGCTTTCCATAGACAACTGGCTGCACACAGGCACAGATATAATTTTCCTCTTTGCAATCAAAGAAAAGTATCATTAAGTTTCATAAACAATAAATCACAATCCCCAGCCATATGCAATGTACAAGATACGCTAATGAGGTTGCCTTTTGACAAGGAATCATCTTAAGAGAAATATTTTAGATAGATAGCTAGATAGATAGATAGATAGATAGATAGATAGACAGACAGATAGAGTAAAATTAAGGTAGACATAAACGTAATGAAAGAGTTGGCTAAAAGAGACAATTACACTTCTGAAAGACTGGCAAGCTTTTATTCCCTGAAGCTCAAAGCAGCAGCATAGCTGAGAGGTGTCTGAATGAACAAAGATTAATGGGGAGAGGAAAACTAAAGAATAATGGAAAGGGCCTTTGTCTAGGCAGTCAGTATCTGTAAAGATGACTTTATAAATGGTCATTGTATCAGGAGAGGGGAAAATGTATGAAAGATTTGAGAAATTATATACGCCATATAACAGGCATCATAGTTATAATGAAGTATACAGCAGAAGGTCAATATTTCTTCACAGCCAACTTTTTGAAAGGTCATGGGATTGGTAGAGGTCTCCTCAGAGCGAGGACAAACCAACGTCGTACCCATCTTTGAAAGAGGTCAAAAGTGCAACCCAGGGAACTCCATGCTGTAGAAACTCACTTTGGTGAGAAATATGCCACCAGTTAGAGACCTCTTGGGTGACTTTTCTGGGCACCTAAAATAGAAGAAAGTATCCAGACGCAGTCAGCATAAACTTACCAAGTGTACCTAGTTGGTCACATGTGGGGCAGCACAGGGAACTCTGCTGGGCCCTGTTCAGTTTCATGCCTGTATCCATGACCCAGAGCATTCAGGTTGTTTAACAAAAACAAGTGCTGGACACTATATTTGGGATGAAATAATGCCAGACACAAGTATAGACTGGAGAGAGGAGTGCCTGGAGAGTACCCTGAAGAAAGGGATGTGGGGGTGCTGGTGGGCAGCAGCTCAACAAGAGCCAGCACTGTGCTCTGGCAAACCGCATCCTGGGCTGCATCCAAACATGGCATAACCAGCCAGTGAAGAGAGGTGATTATCCGGCTGTACTCAGCATTGGGGCAGCCTCACTGTGAATACCGTGTGCAGGTCTGGGCCCCACAATGTAAGAAGGGTGTGAAGGTACTTGAATGTGTCCAGAGGACTGCAACAAAGCTCATTCAGAGCTGCATCAGGGGAGCTATCAACTTGACATTAGGAAGCACTACTTTACCAAAGGAGTGCTCAAGCACTGGAACAGGCTTCCTAGAGATGTGATCGACACCCCAATACCATCCGTGTTTTAGAGGCATTTGGACAATGCCCTTAATAACATGATTTATCTTTTGGTCAGACCTGAAGTGGCCAGCTATTTGGACTAGATGATCATTTCAGGTCTCTTCCAACTGAACTATTCTATTTGATTTGATTCGACTCTGTTTTATATATATACCTGTAGATGGTGAATCCCTGCAGCAGCTGGGGTCAGACACTCAGTGTCCTCAGTAGCTGCTCCTGGATACCAGCCTCCCCAGTAGCAGGCATCTGGACATACAAGCCCCCAAAGCAGCACCCTTTTCCAGATGAAGGTACAGACCACCCCCGTCACACACATAGAATTTAACTTCATTCACTCCAGCCTCTCAGTCAGTGGCACTAATGACATATGGGATGTATGACACCCTGGTTCTATTCCAGTTGCTGCACTCACACCCCCATGTTCACACATTCACACAGAAGAGAGATTTCCTCACACAGGAAATAGTTAGAAATTAAGTTTAATGAGAAGATAGGATGGACTGCACTGGTTGGGGTCCTCCACTAAAAAGCTCATAATAGGTCCTGTGCAGTCCAAAAATGCTCTTTCCCTGCATCCCATAATGTATCCCCCACCCCTAGGAAACAATCCCCTTAGTCCAAATGGTGATCCAGAGAGCTGCTCTCAGTGGCTCACCTTGATGGGTTTACACCTGGACAACAAGGCTGATGGCTCTCCCAGGGCAGCTCTGTAAGGAGCTGGGACAAGATGTTAATTGCTCAGGAGCTTGTAAGTTGGTTTCCCACCTGCCACTGTGCCTCTGTGCTCTTCTTGGTTTGTGGAGATGGGTTCCTGATGAGCTGCTGGCTGTGCTGTGATGGGCCTGAGAGCAGCTGGGGCAGGGTATTCACTGAGTTACTCCTCCTGCCATGGTTAGTGTTTCCTTGGTATGTGCAGACAAGCTTCTTATCACTTAACCTCACACAACCCAAGAAGAACAGAAATCTCCTGAGGCATCTGTCTTTGGAGGTGGCATACATCTGCACTGGTATTACTTAACATATGATAGCAGATCATTGGAATTGCTGTCCAGAAATGCATCATGATTAGGGGAAAATCTGCAGTGTTGCCCGGCCAATGGCTTCACTCAGGGCCGCTATCACAGCCTTGTTTCTCAGACTGTAGATGAAGGGGTTTAAGAATGGGTACAGGACAGTGTTCAGCAAAGCTACAATTCTGTTTGTCTCCAAGGAAGCATCTTCTGAATGATGCATGTAGAGAGCAATGCTGCTCCCATATGCAATAGCCAAGGAGGTGAGATGGGAAGAACACGTAGTAAAAGCTTTTTTCCTCCCCAATGTTGCTGGAAGGTGTAGAATACAGAGGAGAATGCCTGTGTAAAATGCCAGAGTTAAGCATAAGGAAGTCAGTATGACAAATGATACTAAACCAGAGTCTATTTTCCAAAGCAGGCTGGTGTCAGAACAGGACAGTCTGAATAAGGGAGAACTGTCACAAAAAAAAAATGGTAGATCTTATTTGAGCCACAGAAATTCAGCTGGTAGATGAAGACCAGACGGTAACTCAGGAGCGTGATGCCTATGACCCAAGCAGCAACAACCAGCTGGATGCAGGGCTGAGGCTTCATGATGGCAGCATAACGCAAAGGCTGGCAGATAGCAACATAGCGGTCAAAGGACGTAACAACAAGTAGAACAAATTCTGTACAGCCCAGGGCAAAATAGAAATAGGATTGGGCAAAGCAGCCGCTTAGAGAGATGGTTCTCCTACCAGAACCCAGGATCAGAAACAATTTGATGCTTGTGGAGGATGTAAACCAGATTTCCAGGAGGGACAGATTGCTGATGAAAAAGTCCATGGGGGTTTGCAGGCGGTGATCCACACACACGAGGAAAATGATGGTTGCGTTCCCCATCACTGTTGTCAGGTAGATGAGCAGAAGGACCAGAGAGAGAAATAGCTGTAGTCGTCGATCAAGCCCCGAGAAACCCTCTAGGATGAACTCAGTAACCGCAGTTTCATTTTCTGGTCCCATGTGGAATTTCAGTTCATCCTGCTGAGACTGGAGCACAGCAACAAACATGTGTGGTAATGTTACAGTCTGGGTGAAAAGTTCTATCCTTCCTTTTCTGCTTCTTTCCTTTCTAGCAGTCTTCCTCTATAATACAGGCAGAGAGAGTCCTTTGAGCATTTCTCACACCCTGATTTGTATGTTTTACATTTCATTTAGTCCTCAGAGAACCTGTTGGCTTCTTTCTGCCTTTTTCAAACACTCACAAAGGATCCTTTCTCCAGAACAGAAGATTTTCAAGAGGCTGTTAGCTGTTTCACCCTATTCATGGGAAATACCAAATTCACTCAGACCTGTTGCACACCTCTCTCACACCTATGTGCCAGACTCATTTCTTCTATTGCACGAATGCTAAACTATCAAATCAAACCACATCAAATCCGTATGCTGAAAGCTACGCTTTCTACTTTTCAACACTTGCCTTTTTGGACTAGGAACCCCTGAAAATCTCTTGATTCCAAAATAAGTAATATCAAGTATCTCTTTTGTAATTCCATGCTTTCTTCCACAGCTTCTTGCTCTCTGTTTCCTCAGCAAAGGGGGAGGGGGTGGAGTAGGGACCAAGTATCACTCGTCTTCTTTAGTGCTCTCAACAATGACTGAAATTTATTATGGTTCCACACAGTCTGTCACACAGTCTTGTCTGACATCTGCCTGCACTGAAATGCCGTTGTTTCCAAGCAGTTGCTCACTGATGTTACTATCAGATGTCCTGACCTAAATGCAGAGCAAGAGAAGAGTATCCGGAAGAGATTTGTAACCTTTCTTTCACATGCCAGTTATAGGTTGGGAGAACCCAGCCTCTAGTGTTTTCTCTTGTCTCCACTGACTACAGAGGGAGCCTTGGGAAAACAAGTTCTCACAAGCACCTGGAGGTAATTAGATGAAACTCACTATTCCAGTCTCAAATCTCTGCTTTATTAAGTTACTGTTTTTTCAAAATGAAAATGCTCATCTAGCAGAAGGAAGCACAAGAAAAATACACGCAATAAAGACTGACATTTTCCCCTTCATCTTTACTTTTGGTTTTGGACATAGAAAGGAGCAGAGCAGGTGACTCTCTGCAGGGTTGGATTCGCATAGGTTTTTATGCAAATATCTGTAAGTGTTTAAGCCTTCAAAACACACATTTTATGTTACCATTGTTTCACTTAATGCATATTCTCTGCTGGACTATTTAGAGATCACTTACGAGCATCTTTGTTTACAGATTAAGTTAATTAATGCAGTTAATACAGCAGGGCACAGAGGTGAAACTTTTTTTTATCTGCTCCAAACACATACAAGAGTCTGCTGGTGTCAAATGGTGTGACATGGTTGAAAACCAAGGCAAGTTTGTTGACAACTTAGCTAAGGTTCATGAACATTTCAGATGAACCTCCAGTAAATTTTCAGTGAACTTGGGCTGACAGAATATTTCCCTTTAAGCAACATGAAAAGAGCCACTTCGAATCCCTTACCAAACTACAACTGTGTGAATAAATGATTTTTCAAGTTCACCTGTAGTTACGAATATTCCAGGGTAACATAAAAACACCCGCATTAGAAATAGCACATTGTCCAATCCTCCCCTCTCCCACCCAAAGCACTGTTTCATTTCAATTGCCTGTATTGAACATGAGCCTTTAACATGAGCAACAAAAGTTTGGAAAGAAAAGACCTGATGAACATGGAAACTCCAGTGCTCTCCACAGGATGCATGACATCTTGGCCATGAACAACCCCATGGTTCAAATGCCCTCTTAAGGCTTTCGGAGCAAGGATTTAAACACTGGCCTTCTGCTTCCCAGACAAGTGCGCTAACTCCATGGCTACAGTTTACACTGGAGAAGGACTCTCAATTTGTCATACCAAAGTCACTCCAAGATTACGCTAGGATAAACAGGTGTAGTAATGACTGCACTGCATGACAGTCAGCACACCCCATCAGGAGAGTGATACTTTGGTCACAGCCCTTGTTCCACTGACTAATCCTTCACAGATAGTTAGAGCAATTGGCAAAGAAATAAAATAATGATAATAGGGGAATTCACACTGAGTATTTATAGCTCAGTCTGATACTTCTAACAAAATTGGAGAAAATGGTATTGATCACTGATTGATTCAGGGCTTTATTCCATATACCAGACAGAAAACCAATGCCAGACACCGTGAACTCGTTAATGGTGATTTTCTTAAGGCTCTTTGCCAGTTGCTGCAGTGTAGCTTATTTGCAGCGTGAGGGTAACACGTATCTGATATACACTTAGTTAATTAGTGTAAGTTGGAAATGCAGCATTGCACTTCTTCCTCTCCTGCATATGTGAACATTGGTACCTGTTAAGACTGGAGAGTAACCTTTGGAGAACGTGGTGCCAAAGTGCAGAAAAATGCTCTGCTCCAAGGAAAATGACTGTGCGAGCACCCTTCAATTCCAGCAATGCTACTTTACAGGCCAAGAACACTTCTTACAATTTAAATCCAAACAATCTCATTAGCTTTTCCTGACAGAAAGTATCTGAAGTAAAATTTCTCTTGGCTTCACAATACAATTAAGGTGGGAGGAGATCTCCAGAATGGTCCAAGAAACATTCTCTTTAAAGAGGCACAGGCAAAGACCCCGTGGGAGTGATGCGGGCTCTAAAAGCTCCCTTAATATGCAAAAAAGGAGAACTATTTCCATAATGCTGCAGGCCATACCAGTGTCTACAGTTAATAGAAGTTCGCTTTGAAGAATATGGATTGTAGGCAGTCATCGAAGCCACAAATAGAAATACCTGATATCAGTCTGGGGTGCAAGACCCAATATTCTTTTGAACTAAGAAAGCTCTACATTGTTTTAGCTGAGCATAGAGAAAAAACAAGACAAATTAGGTGCTGATACTGAAAACTCAATACATGCCCTCATTTGTTTATTTATAAAACAAAATGATATCTAAAAGACAACTCCATTCTCGTTTTTTGAGGTTGTGGAAGACATTTTTTTAGTGTTTTGTCCAATAGGAATAAAGCTTTACCTGCTTCTGTCCTTATCTGTTACGAAGGGCTTTCATCTGCAGTGAGGGCAACACAAGGAACGGCTCCCTTGCAGGCTGTGGTATCTGCTATCACTGAAACCTCTCACAAGAGTCCTTTATAAAACTGGAAAGAAAGCCAAGGGAGTTCATAATATATACAGAATAGCAAAGCCCTTACGTAAATGAATGAATGAGTGAATGACTTGTTACGGTAAATACAAACTACTTGAATACTGAATGCTTGCCCTGAACGCAACTCCAATAGAAACATTTGATTTTACTGCTAACAGTACTTATCTCAAAAAATCAAAAGGCAGCTAGCATTGTTGGAAACTGGAACCTTACAGATGTCTAGATATACTGCCTTATGGTAACTGCAGAACCAAGATTATTTTTTTTCCTTTTTCTGACTGATTGCTTTTCAAGTTGTGAGTGGGCATATCTTAATTAATCCAATAATGATTTTTGAGATAGTGATTGATGTAGTTTAAACCTGGCTGGCAGCCAAGCACCACACAGCTGCTCACTCACCCTCCCCTCCCTCAGGGGTGAGGGAGAGAAATGACGGGGTAAAGATAAAGAGACTCGTAGGTTGAGATAAAAACAGTGCAATTTTTTTTTTTTTTTTTTTTTTCAGTAAAATGCAAAGGGGTAATGCACAATGTGATTGCTCACCACCTGCCCACTGATGCCCAGCCCATTCCTGGCCAGTGATCCCAGAGAAGTGTAGATCCCAAAACTGGAATCCCAGAAGCGAGAGCCCTCCCTTCCCGACCACCCCTCCTCTATACACCGAGCACGACATTACATGATATGGAATATTTCACTGGCTAATTTGTGTCCAGTGCTGTTGGAGAATGGCTCAGAGACAAGGGTCATGAGCCCACCGAGCAGTTGTACGATCAGAGCCTGTTCTAAGGGCTGATGCTGCCTCGCTGATGCTGGGCCTCACTAGGGTTTGCCTGCAGCTGCTCGCAGCTGCTGATACATGAGGAATGTCAAGGACGCTTCAGCCTTGTGTATCGTTGTATATTGTAAACAAGATAAGAGGAATTGGAAAGTAGTGGAATGGGAAACAGTGTTATGAGAAGCTTGTGCTGCTAGCTAACTGCAAGTAGGTGGACCGTGAGAATACGACCTTTAGAGCTTAAGCCAAACAGCTAGTGACTAGTAGGCATAATAATTATCATTGTCTGTATAAATATGTGTACCCTGGACCAATAAAGTGAACCATGCTTTATCACTCACATTGAGTCTGTCTCGGCATTGTTCCTCCGCCGCTCCGCAAGCTAGCGAACACAGTGAAGAAGACTACGAGCCTTCATGTGAAGACCCCTGCCCATGACCACCAGGGAGCACTGCGCAAGCGCGACGGGAGGAATTTGGGGTGGAGGGATATGTTAATGATTCCTCGGAACTAATTGTAATATTCCCTCCCTATCCTTGGAGTAGTGATGCATATGTATTAGGGTAGATGAATATGTAACCATTTATACAATAAAAGGGAGCCCCTTTTGGCTCCAGGGCGTGCCATTGCGCCCAGCCCTGTATTCTTTGCTCCACTGACTTTGTCCCCAATAAAACTTTTTTTATATATACATGGGCTTGTTTCTCACATTTACCTATTTTAGGAGGGTGGGGTATTAATCCCATATGACTTTCTGCTTTTTTACATTGGTTTATACTTGGCTTTCACTAGTGTGACATTCATCTGTAACCCTGTGGTCAGTCTGCTGTGAAAATAATCCTATCGTATTGTATATTCTGTATCCTGTAGGCAAAGATGAAGCAGTTGTTTGAAGCATGGTGAAAACTGTCCGATTCTCAACAGCAGGTATGTCAGTGGGTTTTGGTGAGGCTCTGATCTAATTGGAAAATTACAAACTGGAGTCAAAATTAATAAATTCATAGGAAATCTTGAACTCGGTTGCTCAAAGTATAATACTGAGGACAATACTCTGAGATCTTATTTGTACACCTTGAAAAAGATCGTCATTACTTTTATTCCAGTAGTGACCATTTCTTTCACAGTGTTGATGAAATGTGAGTCAGTGGGATGGGATGGAAGTTCTGTATGCCTGGAAATGGATGCTGAGCGGCATCTAGGGATGAAGGTGGAATAATCTGCAACAATTTGGTTTTTTTCTAATAATACTTATTTTTAAATGCCAGCATAGTAATTTGCTGCTCATGGAAAGACTTTGGACAGGTAAAAGCAACAGAAATCTACATGTAATGTGCACGCAGTAATTTATTAATTTTGGTTGTCTTCAGGATACTTTTTTGCCAGCTTTCTCAGTGTATTGAAATACGAACCTACAGATGGGGGTATTGAAAACTGGAGGGGTGCTATACTGAACTCTAATCTAAACCTCCCAATTTTCAAGTATTCTGTACCTTACCGTCCTTCCTCCTCAATGCCCTTCTTCCAGATTGTTTTGAATGCGTTCTTAGAACATGCACTATGTTCATGTTTTTTTCTGTAGAAAAATAATTTGAAATAGTTCTGCAGAAATATCTGTTCCTGTTTCTTACATAAGCCATCTCTCTCAGACTAGTACTCCCATAAAAAGCCTTAGCTGTTAGTAGTCGTACTGAATAAACTTCCTCTTCAGGGATGTCAATCTGTTGACATAACCACAGTTCAATACTTAGGTTTTGTATTTTTATGTTGGATGTTTTTTGAATTTTCTGAAGGTGAAAGTGGACGCCTGGGATGTGCACTACACAGGTCTTGTAGTAAGTCACCTCTGTATCAAAGAGGAGGATGTGACATGGCAGTTATCCTGACAAAGCCCCTTCTGTAACTGTTGATACCTAATTTTCTCCCAGCCATACGTGCAGCTTGCTGAAGATGATAAGGTTCGGTACGAGAATGAAATGCAGTTGTGGGAAGCAAAAACGGTCAAACTTGGATGCGAAGACCTAATACGTTCCAGAAAGCAAAAGCCAGAAAAGAAAACTGATTAAACCTGTAAACAAAGCTGAAACAGCCAAAGATTCTTCATGTGAAAACGAGGCAAAGTTAAAGTTGAAAAAATCAGAAGAATGAAATGGTTAAGTATTTTATATTTGATGCCCTTTGGTTGTCATGTCTTTGTCCTGCTGTGTTAATGCTGCAGTCTGCATTAGCACCAAAATTTGGAGAACCCATAAAGGGCCCACTGGAGAAGTAGAAAAGATGATCAGGTAAGAGAGGATGCGGAATCTCTCAGAACTGACTGAAATAATCATTGCAGGTGTAGCCTCAACTGTACAACAGTAACTGGTTAATCAAGCTGTGAATAGTGATACTCACTGACATCAGCAGAGCTCTCCAGTAATGGTAGATAACGGCTAGCTTTTATAAGATATTTTTAATGAAAGCAAGAATATTCTGCAATGTTACCATCTAAATGCTGTAAATAAGAGCTGAAATCTGAGTTAATGCTGCTGTGTTTTATTCCCTCCATGGTATTGGTAGCGAAATGTTCTACATTTCAACAAAAGGCACAGGAAATGTAAAATACTAACTTTTATTTCATGCATCTTTTTGTACAAGTCAATCAGTGTGTACCACTTATGTTGCACTTAATTAAAGACCACATGAGTTTTGTGTAAACGTATCTTTACAGGACTTTTATTCCACGGCTTTGTTTGGATACATGCAAACACTTTTGCCTTCCTGTTGTCACATTTGGGACAGCCTGGAAGGAAGACACTATGTGTGAACTGTTAGAGCTTTGAGTTTTGATGTAATAAATGTAGGTATTTTGAAGAGGTGCTTGTTTTTGTTTACCGGGGTCTGTCTGTCTTAGTGAAAGCCTCATAGGTATTTTGGAGAGTCTATTTTTAGAAGGAAGGCAAGCTTTTTCAGTAGGCAGTGGATTTCATCCATCCCGAATGACTCACAAAAGCCAGCAAAGCTTCGCTTTCTGAGAAACAAGCCCACGTATATAAAAAAGTTTTACTGGGGACAAAGTCAGTGGAGCAAAGAATACAGGGCTGGGCGCAATGGCGCACCCTGGAGCCAAAAGGGGCTCCCTTTTATTGTATAAATGGTTACATATTCATCTACTCTAATACATATGCATCACTACTTCTAAAGATAGGGAGGGAATATTACAATTAGTTCCAAGAAATCATTAACATATCTCCCCACCCCAAATTCCTCCCATCTCCCTTGCGCGGTGCTCCCTGGTGGTCATGGGCAGGGGTCTGCAGATGAAGGCTCGTAGTCTTCTTCACTGTTTTCGCTCGTTGACCCTTATTTCTGTGCAAACTCAGTCCTGTGGTCACGTACACCTTGTCCTTCAAGTCTGGGCTAATTTGCAGCTCCTTTGTCTTTCTGGCTCAGTGGTTTCAGTTCCTCTCTTACCTCAAGGACAAGAGGTACCAGGGATGGCCCATCCTTTTCTTTCTCATTCCATTGCAAAGGAGTTACCATCCTTTGATATGGACCATCTGGTGAGCATTCCAAAGAAAAAAGGGGGCTGTTGGGTTGTTGTTTCCTCTGATCAATCTCCCCCCCCCTCTCTTTTCCCACTAGTAAATTATTTTACTTTTCTTAAAATTTGTATCATTGTACTAATAATAGCTTTAGCCTAATTCAATAAAAGTAACTGTTTAATTACTTTTAGCAAAAGCAAAATTCTTCTATTATTTATCACAATCCACCCCTTTTTTTTTTTTTTTTTTTTTTTTAATACCATATTTTGCTTGAGCTTACTAACACTTAGTCTCATTGTTTTCTTAATATCATAACTTTGTGGGCACCGGACACTGCTGCCATTTCAGGGTTTACCGGCATTGCTGTTATTTGCATCCCCTCGATAACATGAGATATTAGCCATATAAAGCAAGGTATTAAACATGGTAAAAATAGTAAGCCCGCGACGGCACAAAGGAAGAAAAAAATCCAATATTTTCCACCAGGAAGTTCCTAATAGATCATTCCACCATTTTGAGTCTAACATTGAGGGTGTTTTATGGTCTTGGTTACCCGGAGCACCATGGGTAAAACAGCTTTTATTCTATCTGCTATGTGCAGTTGTCGCCTTAATGTTTTTGCCGTGTGTTATTCCTTGCTTTGTCCAGTTAATCCAACATGTTGTGACCAACATGCAATTTGCTACTACTGTTTCACCTGTTGGCGTTAAGCAAATTCGAGCTGTGCGCCGAACTGCACAGTCGACCGTACTATCAGACACTCTGTAAACAATAATCAACAATTTATTAGCAAAAAAGAACCTGAAATAATTAACTGTATAACAATCCAGCAAAGTCCCACGCGACACAATCAGAAAGAGAAAAAGTAAGAAACAAAGATATCAGCACTGTCCTTTGGATGTTGTCCTTCGAGCTCTTGTTACCCCTGCTCACGGGGGCGATAGCGATAGAAAGATAGAAAGAGTCCAAGAACAACAGTCATGCGCCACGTGGTAACTCCGCTGATTAGTAACATTTCCTTCTTTGAACTATGAGTCTGTTTCCATCACCTCATCAAGGTTTCGAGGGCGTCTTAGTTGTCTTCGTGATCTTGGAGGACTGGGGGGAGGAGGTGATCTTCTCCGATACCAGCCACGAGACATTCCCTCGCATACCGCGATGGCAACGACAGTCACCAGCAATATAATGAAAAATCCTAACAGCAGGGCGGCGCACACGGGATCGTCCCCTACTTCCATCTTCCCAAGATTGCAATCCAGCGGGATCAGTAAGATTAGTGGGATAGTCCAGCCCCAGGCTAGCGGCTTGACCGAGGAAGGTCCAAGTGCGCAATGAGCGGAAGTTTCTCTTCCACCCAGAATGCCTGTGTTGCCTAGATCTGGGCGGGCCTGGCAGTTGTTTTTGCCATCCGGGTATAACTTTCGAGACCCTCCAACAACACATGCGCTTTGGACTGGGGGCGTGGAAATCCATTTTCCTGCTGCGTATGTGGACCCTGACTCCCGATCCCTACTGACCAGGCGGGTTGACCACTTGCGCTCTCACTCTTGTACCTCCGAAACCGTGAAAACAATGGAGCGTGCTTATGTATGGGCAGCAATTTATTATGCAGACTTGATGTTGGTAGCCCTCACTTTGTTTGCCTTTTTACTACATATCTTTTGCCCTTGTAAATGTTCCTCTTTCAAGTGCCCATGTAGTTGTATCTGCTTATGTAAACCACCATCTCCTTCCCCTCCCCGTCCCCAAAGTCCGGGAGCACATCCCTCGGCCCAGCCTGAGACACATGCTGTTTAAGTAGGTTTGGGTAGAAAACTGTTGATTGGTAGTGTTACAGTTATTGTTACCTTGTCTATGTTTGGTTTAACCATGTCGAAAATTCTGTTATAGGTCTTTTCGGCGGTTTTGGTACTGGCTGTTTTTCTTCTGTCACATCTTTTACTTGGATTCTCTTCTTCCCACTAAAAATACCTCCATCCACCCTTCTGTCTTTGGGAATGCAAAGCCACTCTGATGTTGGACATGACTGTAAAGCACTTGCTGCACGAATTTGCCACTATTAAATCAAACCATACCAGGATGATTAGCAGAGGTCCGGTATAACGTATACTCCCACCTCTCATGCCTATGGGGTTGCAGCCCACAGCTGAGATAAAAGTCTTCCTGGTGGCGAGCACAGAGGTTAACCCGGTCTTGCCCTCTACTGTTTAACGAATCCATGTGTTACGAGTTAGTCAATTCAAGTGCAGCTCCTTTGTAGCCACTTCCTTTGTTTCTAAGCAAAGCAAAATTTTTGGCACTTCCTGATAGTGTCCTTCCATCAACTCTCAGGGACATCACAAATTCTGGGGACTAACCTTTTTTCCCCGTAAATCAAGGTTACAGATCATGCCCCTTCCCTATACAGTTATAACACAATTTTCTCCATCTGTGAGAAATACCACCTCCGGTGACACATTTCACATCACACAAAACCCACGCTTCATGACATCCATACATACACTCAAGACAAGGTATTACCCTATTAGGTTGATTTTCTAGCAATGCCTGATCGAATCCAAAATGCTCATAATCTATTACCAAGAGCCACTCTGTCACATGTCTGCCAGTTAATGCTCGGTAAACGCCAGCTTTTCCCTGACATTTTTTTTTTTGTTGTTCTTTTGGTTTTTTTTGCTTCCTTATACAGTAAGTAAGTAAATGAATAAGTAAATTTTCACAGTGCTACCTCTGAACCCAGTCAAAAACCCAGTCAAACCACTAGTTAAGAGTCATTCAATCCCCTCCTGATGAATTTACTTAGTCCTTTGAGGGTGACTTGTAGTTGGTCAGCGGATGGTACCACAGTCCACTCCTGAGGCTTTTCCACCAGGTCCTTTTCCTCAGGAGGCAAGAGTCCACCCCTTTTCTTTTGTTCGGATCTCTGTCTCGGTGGTCAGCAGCACCTGAAATGGACCTTCCCACTCGGGAATTAATGATTAACCTTTCCACACTTTTATCAATACCCAATCACCTGGTTTTACATTGTGGATATTAAAAGCCAATGGTGGTATTTGAGGCAGAAGTCCTTTCTTTCTTAGTTTCATTAAAGTGTTAGCTATTCTTATTACATACTTTCTTACATACTGATCTCCTACTTCAGGGATGACAATAGCCCTGTCATTACTCATATATGGTAATCCAAACATCATTTCATAGGGAAAAATTCCCAGGTCTGCTCGTGGCTGAGTATTGATCCTTAATAAGGCCAACGGCAGGCATTTAATCCAAGACATCTGAGTCTCAATCATTAACTTAGTCAAGGGTTGTTTTGAAGTTTGATTCATTCTTTCTCCTCTTCCAGAACTCCGAGGATGCCATGGGGTGTGCCATGCCCATTCGATCCCTAAGGCTTCAGATAGCTGTTGCATAATTTTTAAAATGAAATGTGTTCCTCTGCCCACGTCTATTCTTTCTATTAATCCATATCTGGGGATAATGTTTTCCAATAACACCTTGGATACCATGGTTGCCATTGCTCTTGGTGTGGGGGATTGCTTCCACCCGACGAGTTAAGTGAGCCACTAATACCAACAAATACTTCCACCCTTGTATTTGAGGTAGCTCTGTTAAGTCTACCTGGAGGCTTTGTATGGCTAGCTCCTGTTCCCCAGCCACCTTTTTCTCGTTACCTTTTTGTTCACTTTTTGACAAATCAGACATCGATCAACTAGTTGTTTAGCCTCCGTATATATTCCTATACACCCATATTGTCTAAGAAAATGATCACAAAGTGATTGCGTTCCCCAATGTATTTTATGATGTATTAATGACAGAATTTCTCATGATCATGTTTTATTTAACATCTACCTTCCATCTGCTAAAGTCCATTTTCCTTCTGGATCGTTCCCCCCGCTTATTTTTAAGTATATCTTTTTCTTGTTCTGTGAAATTTGGGGCTAAATTCTCATAATTCCCCCATTGTTATTACCAATAAAACTACTGATGATAATTCTGTAGCTGCTTCTCTGGCTACTTAGTCTGCTAAATTATTCCCCCTTATTTCCATCGATGCTCCCCTCTGATGTCCTTTCACATGCACAATTGCAATTTCTGTAGGGAGCTTCAGGGCTTCTAAAACTTCTCTGATCAGCTGCTCGTGTACTAGCTCCTTCCCTTTTGTATTTATAAGCCCTCTTCCTTCCCATATTTTTCCAAATGTGTGGACCACTCCAAATGCATACTTTGAGTCTGTGTACACTGTCCCTTCCTTATCTCTCAAATATACCAATGCCTGTTTTTAGGGCATAGAGTTCACAGACTTGTGCTGACCACCCAGCAGGTAATTTCCCCTTTTCAAACACTTCCATCTTCTGCCCCTCGATAATTGCATAACCCAATATTCCTTCTCCTTCTAGCCATCAAGAGGACCCATCAATAAATAGTTTTTCCCTATAGCGCAAAGGTTCATCGAACAGATCTTCTCTTATTTTCGTTTGATAACTTATAAAATCCAAACAGTTATGCTCTGGTTCCAGAATATCCTCCCCGATTCTCCTCCCATAATTCTAGTAATTTAACCACCAGTTTTCCTTCATCCAGCACCACACCTATTCCTAATTGCACTTGTAAATCTCTACCTAGCAAATTACATCCTACCCCTGGCATTAACAACAGATCATTAACAGCATATTGATCTTCCCCTTGTATTAACACATTCTTTATAACTGGGACTGAAAACCCCTTCACCTTTAGCCCCTACAGCCCAAGTTGTATCTTTTACATAATCTTCCTCCTGGGGACTCAATTTCAAATTTATCAAGGGCTCTTCTGTTGGTATACCCCCCAGGAGGTAGAGCCCCTGACACCCCCAGTGATTACCACCCTCATCCTCTTGGGTTACTTCAAACACCAACAGGTCCCGTATTCTCTGGGGGCATTCTTGTTTATAATGTCCCCCCCCCTTCCCACAATAAAAACATCCCCTTGTGATTTCCCTAGCCAGTGGTGCCTCTTGGTTCCACCTTCACTTTCATTTAGCCTTTTCTTCATCCTTCCTAACATATACTTTCTGTGCTTCTCTCAGGAGTTCATCCAGACCCTTATTATAATGACCTAGAGTCACTCATATCTCTCCTCCGCTCTTGTTCATTCTGATTCCACTGCAGAGGGGTTACAGGGAGTTTTTTTTCCCCGGGTATCCCCTGCTGATTTTCTCTCTCCCATATCCACATTCCAGCCGTTCTGATCATCTGTCTTTCTTCAGGAGAAAAAAAAAAAAGATTCCCATAATCGACTGCATCTCCTCCCATGTATATATGCTGGGTCCCAAAAATTGATCAATCTCCTCCGACAGCCCCACAGGGTCCTCTAATAACCTCCTTAATTCATTCTTATATGCCCTCACTTCTACATTAGTTAGCAGCACATCCACAAATCCCATCCCCCCTTGAATTCCTGCCGCTGGAACTTCCCCGCAGGGATTAACCCTAGCCTCCCCGTGCTCCCTTAAACAATTCCCCCCCCTTCATTGCTGCCAGGTTTCAGGTCTGATATTAACAACAGGAGCCTCCTCACCCGCATCTTCCTGCTGCACACCTTGATTTCCTAGGAGTGCCGGGTTATATGGGAGGGGTAAATTATCCAAAGGGTCCCATCTCCTTCCCTTTCACCTTCTTCAACCTGCTCCTCCTGCTTCAATTAAAAAATCCCAAATCTCTGCGACCCCCTCCAACACGAGGCATATTCACTTTCTTCCTGATTAAATGGTTCCTTTGAATTAACATAAATATTAAGAGCTTGACAAATCCAATCCTCTTCTGATCCATATTTTGGCCAATTCACCAAATCTTCCCTGATAGGTCTTTTAGTCCACTCAAACATACAATAATTTACCATCTTGATCTTACTCTTCCCTCTGGTACATGGGCTATAATCCCAGTTTTCTAATATATATTTTTTTTCTTCTTCTTTTTTTTTTTTTTTTTTTTTTCTCCCAGCCTTTCCCTAATGGACTGTATGGGAAATGGCAATCTTTGGCTCCCTGTTACCCTGGGAACTCAACTATCCAGCTCCTAGTTTCTTGTTCACTCAACTAGACTAACTGAAGTTTCTTGTTTCCCCTTCCCTCCCGCTGGAGCCGTTCACTCCTTTTCACTCGCTTCGTCTCTTCACCGGCCGTCCCCCCTCGCGGGAGCACGGAACCACGGTTAGAAAGACTCCACAATCGCTTCGCAAGTGTGACCTGGTGCCTCGCATCTCACACACACACACCTTTCAGTCTTCCCCGTATCTTGCCATCTGGACACTACTTACAGTCCCCTTTTCGTTGCCCGGGTCTTGTGCACAAGGTGTAACGTCTGCCGCGGTCTCCAGGGAGCCCTACCCCCTCTTTGGCCCACAAGTCCCCCGCCGGGATCGTCACCGTCGACCTCCGATGGCGCCGGAGGGAACCGAAGAGACCCCTGAACTCAGCGGGGCGCGCCTTCCATTCAGGGCCCTCTGGCTCCACGGCGGCGAGGCTTCTGTCCTCCCGGACGAGCCCCCAGTTGTGAGAAACAAGCCCACGTATATAAAAAAGTTTTACTGGGGACAAAGTCAGTGGAGCAAAGAATACAGGGCTGGGCGCAATGGCGCGCCCTGGAGCCAAAAGGGGCTCCCTTTTATTGTATAAATGGTTACATATTCATCTACTCTAATACATATGCATCACTACTTCTAAGGATAGGGAGGGAATATTACAATTAGTTCCGAGGAATCATTAACATATCCCCCACCCCAAAGTCCTCCCGTCGCGCTTGTGCAGTGCTCCCTGGTGGTCGTAGGCAGGGGTCTGCAGATGAAGGCTCGTAGTCTTCTTCACTGTGTTGGCTCATTGACCCTTACTTCTGCGCCAACTCAGTCCTGTGGTCACGTACACCTTGTCCTTCAAGTCTGGGCTAATTTGCAGCTCCTTTGTCTTTCTGGCTCAGTGGTTTCAGTTCCTCTCTTACCTCAAGGACAAGAGGTACCAGGGATGACCCATCCTGTTCTTTCTCATTCCATTGCAAAGGAGTTACCATCCTTTGATATGGACCATCTGGTGAGCATTCCAAAGAAAAAAGGGGGGCTGTTGGGTTGTTGTTTCCTCTGACCAATCTCCACCCCCCCTTCTCTTTTCCCACTAGTAAATTATTTTACTTTTCTTAAAATTTGTATCATTGTACTAATAATAGCTTTAGCCTAATTCAATAAAAGTAATTGTTTAATTACTTTTAGCGAAAGCAAAATTCTTCTATTATTTATCACAGTTTTTACCAGTGGGAAGTGGAAAGCCGAAGAGGAGTTGCTCGCCCGTTTGTTTTATCTGTTTGTTTTCCGCTGGTTTTAAAATGTACTGCTGCTAACTGTGTCTGAGCGCACCTGGCTTTCCTCCTTCGCAGGAGAACACAGAGCGCGTCCCGAGGGCGGAGGCTCTCGCTCCTCAGCAGGTTCCCGGCCCGTCCCTGAGGGGCAGCCGCCCGCACCCAAACCGTCCTCGGAGCGGCGGGGGGGCGGCGGGGGAAGCCGGGCCGGCTGCAGCCTGGCCGCCGGCGGCTGCGCAGCTCCTGCCCGCTCCAATTAATTGTGCGGGAAGCCTTCCCCCTCCCCTGCCGCCCCCCGCGCCCGCCCGCGGAGCGGCTGCAGCCGCGGAGGGGAGCGGAGCGGAGCGGAGCGGGGCCGAGCGGCGCGGCTGACGGGGGGGAATCCCGCCCGCCTCCCTGAGGGCGCTGCCGCCGCCGCGCCGCGCATGCACGGGCTCGGCCCAGGCTCGCGAGGGGCGGCCGGGCGGGCTGGGGCTGCTGGAGCCGTGCGGGGCCGCCCGGGGCTCTGCCGAGCGCTGCCGCGTCCTGGGCGCCCGCCGGCGGGCCTCGCCGCGGGAGATCCGCCGCGGCTGCCCCCGCGCCTCGCTCCGCGTCCACCCCGGCCGCGCCGAGCCCCACGCCGAGGAGGCGGCGACGCGGCGGTTCCAGGTGAGGGAGGCTGCCGGCCGCCCCGCTGCTGCCGGCCTGACCGGCCGGCCCCTCTGTGCCCGTAGATCCTGGGCAAGGCCTACGCCGCCCTCAGCGAGGTGGAGCAGCGCGCCCTGTACGGTGAGCAGGGCACGGTGGGCAAGGAGGGCGAGGTGCTGAGGGGCGAGCGGGACTGGCAGGAGTACTGGCGGCTGCTCTTCAAGAAGGTAAGAGCTGGGCCGGAGCTCCTTGCTTCGGGCTTGTGGCCGTGCCTCCCTGGCGAGCTTCGGGTAAAGCACGTGGCTTCTCTTGTTTTGTTTTGGTTTGGTTTTTATTAACGCTGTCTCTGAAATCTGTCTGGTGTATAAATCACGTAACTCCAGAAGTGTCACTTCTTTGCTTCAGGTCACAGTGAAAGATATTGAAGACTTGGAAAAGAGCTAGAAAGATTTGGACAAACAGCTAGCTGTTATTAAAGCAGCGTACGTGGATTTTGAGGGTGACCTGGACAGAATAATGGAGTCTGTTGTGCGTGGACTATACAGATGAACCAAGAACATGGAAAATCGTAGAAAAAGCCATTGACTGTGGAGAAGTCCCATTCTACAAAGGTTTTGTAAGAGAGTCTAAACAGAAAATGATTGTGAGAAAAAGGCGGGTAGGTTATATCAATCTGGGACCAAAGGGAAGCATTTTTTTTATGATAAGCTTTTAATCTTCCTTGTTAGAAATAAAATGGAACTGTTCTTGAGGGAAATGTTTGCCACAGGATTTCTGGGTTACAGATCTTGCTCTGTGTCTTTGACTTTCACATTTGGACACCTGTGGTCTCCACCCCCCTCACCCCCCCCCAAATTGTTGTGAAAGGCTTTTGAGCAGTGATAGGCTGCTGCCAATCTTCATTCCTTTGTTTTATTATTAATTCTTTATTATTATACACAATGGCTTATTACAGTTTAGCATGTCCCTGCATTTATTTACACAGCTATGAGCTGCTGGAGTTCAGTGTACGTGGTGGAAATACGTTATGCTCGCCTTCTGGCGAGTGTGAAATAACATGCTGGACTAAATGGACCTCTTCTTCAACATGGGGTGTTTTGAACACTTTGTAGATCTTACATGCACATCGCAGTAACCGTTCTCTAAGTTAAAGAAAATGTAATAGCTGCCGAGACAAAAAAAGCGTGGGTGGGGGGAACAGGGATAGGCATAGACATTACATTCAGCATTGTGAAACAACAAAAAACTGTCCCGCTCTACTAAAGCCAGAATGGCCTTTCTTTCACCAGTTTGTCATCTGTGGCCAAATTTGGAAATGATTTGAGTTTCCTTGCAGCTAGTTGTATACAGATTTAAAAAAAAAAAAAAAAAAAAAAAAAAAAGTGTTTCAAAACTATTATAAGATTTTGTCAAATAACTTGCAAAATACTTGTTGAAAAACTAGTTTGCTATTTTCAGCAGAAAAAGAAGCTAGAGAGGCAGAAGAGACTAAATCTGAACTGGGACTTGGTGGAGAAGATGATTTGAAAGCACTGATTCAAGTAAGGCTTTTTCTATCTGCTGAAGAGAAGTATGTTACTGGCCTATAATTCTGTTCTCCCTGAGCCTCTTTGTAGTTTGGATCCTTGCAAGTTGAGAGTTCAGAGGTTAAAACCTGACCTTAATGTTAGCTAGCTATGTACTTTACTTAATAGTCAGTGTGGTATGGATTTTACTGCCTGCGTCTTTTGAAAATTAACAAAGTTATTCAAATATCCTTATGGCATACACAATCAAAATATTTAACTTCTAGTTTTAGGTAGTTAGACAGGGAGTATTATTGATTCTTTCCCTGAGGGATTCCATCAGGATGTAGAAGCTGATAGGTCTTACTGTTTTGTATCTTGAGGACCGAGGAAAGAAACATACTGTTTACATTCTGCTTTTTGGAATGTTTTCTGTTTCTCATCATCCAGTGGGCTTCCTAGAACATTCATGCTTAATCATTCCTCAAACTGTAGTAGGGTTTTGGGTCTAAACTTAGACATTGTTTTGCTTTTCCTAGGCTTATGTTGGGAATTTTTATAGCCACTTTACATCTGTCTTGATACTTCAGGAGAAGTTAGGTATAGAGCCTAGAGTATACAAGTAGAATTTTGCTTGATGGTACTATGCTTTGTATTGTATTATATTTGTATTGTATTATATTGCTTGCGTTCCCTGTTTAATATATTCCAATATTTTATGTAGCTGTCATACTATCAACTTCAATAGACTAATCTGTACTAGGAAGTAGTAAAAGTTTTGGGTTGGTTTTCTTTTTTAATTTCCTTTCCCCCAGAGCAGAAATAAAGATCAAAAAAAGGAAATGGATGACTTTTTGGCCCAACTGGAATACGGGGAAAATGCTAAAAAAGGAGAAAAGATGACCGCAGCCAAGAAAGGAAAGAAATAAAGAACTGTGTAGGCTGAGATACCAGGTATCATTTTGTATGGGATCACGTGGATTTGGGAGAATTTCAGAGTTTTTCTGGGCTACTGTTTCAGAGTGTGTGCATCAGTTTGCTGTGACTGGGAGGTATGATACAGAATGCATCATGAACAAGACAAAGCATTCTGGTGCTACTCTTTAAAAATCCTTCGGGTGCTCTTCGGTTAAGGATCAAACAGATTCCTGAGTAAAAGTTGTTACAGTAAGGAAGCGGTGTGAGGTTTGGGACCATGGTGCGTTTATTAAACTTCTTTTGAAGCAGCTTCCTTCCAAACACCTAATGGATATTGGTACAGTTGATGGTAAAACGGTGTAACCCCTCACCTTTGAGAGTCTTCAGTGGCGATTCCTGCGGTTTCCGAGTTGGAAACCTTATCTTTTTGCTAGTCACATGTTTCTTCGTAACAAACCTTCTGCTGTTTTTTAAAAGTCTTTGAACTTCAGCTCAACAGGTATTTTCAGTGGTTTTATAAAGATACTTTGGAATACTGCAGATTTAATAAAGGAAAAGTTTTCATAGAATTCTGTGCTAAGTTGCCCAGCCCTCTCTACGTTTTCTATGTAGCTGTTCAAAACAAACTGATTGTGTGGACTCTTCTGACTGATTTAAGTCAAGTAAATACTACACACTTGTATAGCAGCTGTAACTATGGCTACATTGATGACTGCCATGTCAGTGCTGGTGATGCCATGTTCCATGAAAGGGCCAGCTCGTGTTTGGCCTTGGATTGCCTGTGGCAGATGCCTTAGGAAGAAGACTGCAGCATGTATGTCACTGTGCAGGAATCCTCTGACACACTGAGGTGAGGCAATAGCTGAAAAATCCACAGGAGAGAGTCAGTCCTGTGCATTTCTTGGGTTTGTGATGTCCCATGACAAGGAGTTCCAAAGCTCAGAAATGCATTGCTTGTTATTGCAATAGCATCACAGTCAAGTCTGCTGTAGGGTGGTAGTGATTAGCTACTTCACTATATTTGTCAACCCTTCTGTTATTTCAGAAGTGAATTACTTAAGTAGGATCTGCAAACACTTGAAAGGTTTATGCTTCAGCTGTTTTTAAACCACCTGACAGTGTGTAGGGGTATGAATTTGAAGGGTAATTAACTAGTTTTCAACTCTGTCACAAAGGGATGAGGCTGGCTTTATTTTGTGGATCATTTTTCAGAGGCTTATGAGCGACAAGGTGAACACTTCCTTTTGAGCTGAAAGTCCTCACTGCTTCAGTGATAGCATTCAGGAGCTGGCTATTTAATAGAGCTTCCCAAGGGGAAGCTAGAGGTAGATGGTAACTATTCCTTTACGTGGCTTCTTTCAAAAATTATCCTGATTCTGAGAGTACAGCATATCTCTATGTTGCACAACACATGGACCTGAACGTTACTTTTACTGTACAAAACAGATACCTACCAGCCCAGAAGTCTCGTGTCAACCATTTGTACAGAAACCAAAAATTACCTTATGGTGAGACTGCTTTCCCTTTTTTAACACACTGACTCCTCTTAGCTATAAAATACTACATTATATTACTAGAAGTCTATTCAAGTTTATTTGTATATTTTTGTAACTTATGCACTAGGGCTACAGAAAACTAACTTGCTCCCTGAGGAATGGCACCGATATAAAGGGGATGCTTATCTCCAGTGAGCTTGATGTTACTAGATGCCACACTGTACAATGTTCCAGTAGTGTCAGCTGTTAAAAGAAATTGTATTTTGAAAGAGTTTAGTGAACAGAGGCCTCTCTTTAGCATCAGTTTGCCTCTATGCAAACCCAAGAGATTTCAACTGAGACCAGAGCTTTTTTTTTTTTTTTCACCCCTCTAGAAATGCAAAGGAAAGCTAACTTAGTTACATTTGCACAGTTCTGCTTTGCTTTCTTTTCCCTTCTTTTTGAGTAAAGCATGCTTGGATCAACTGGACTCAATAACTTCAATATTGATTAAAAATTATTAGCTGTTCTCTAGGTACCACTAACATTTGATAGCTTACATAACAGAGTGGGATAGTAGGAGCTACTTCCTAAAGAATACTGACTAGTTTTTTTCATTATGAATTGTAATTCAGAAAACATTAATAAGGGAAATTTAGAAAGAAAGTGCTTTTTAATTGGACAATTTTTTAAAGGAAAAACTGTTTTCCTGCAGTGTCCTAATTTTGTTAAAATACATGAAGTGGTTATCCTCACCTCGTCTGTACGCTTATTTGTCATCTGGAGTTTACTGTTTTGGGAGTAAGACCTTCAGCTAATCACTTAGAAGCATGTATTTCATGTTTTTGTCTAATTTGGAGCCACAAGGGCAACTGCAGCAAATACCACTGATACATCTGTCCCAGTGCAGAACCCATCTTCTAACAACGTCGTTGCATCTGTGGGTTTGGAGCCTCATGGCAGAGCGCAGAAATCTTTGGTAATTGCAGGCATTTTTAGAAAGGGAGACTGACCTATTTTGCAAAATTACCATGAAATATCCCGCCAGGAAGACAACGTACTTTCTTTGAATACTGTCTGGAACTACTTGCAGTAAGAGTCCCTTCTGCCTCTTCCACATTCAGTCAGTGAGGAAGAGGTCCAAGTATGTAACACAGGAAGAGTCGCTAGTGTGCTACCCTTAAAGTCATCAGTTCTGCTCAGCTGGTTTGTTACCTTATTTTTATACAACTGCGTTGATATCTGCTGCAGTTATTACAGGATTCATATCTTGTCTAAGTTGGGTTGTAGAAGCAGCAACGTGTAGTGCTTGCTTTTGATAGTATAATGTTGCTTTAAACATATAAATACAGCTTTTAACATCGAAATTACTGCTGTTATGGAAAATCTTTCATCTTCTGTAGAGCTAACAGAAAAATTGGCAGATTCTGCAGTACTTGCCTGTAACAAGATGAACAGGTCGTAAGCCAGTAATGGGAAAACAACAACGGCTGAGTGTGTTGCCTGGATTTTCTAGGAGTTAGGCTTTACTGCCCACTGGAGTCCATTTACCCTTCCACTGGAGTATAACTACTTCTGGTAGCAAATGGAATGTTTTAAGTATACCCCTTCTAATCTTTGGCAGCTGCTTCTTAGATTGATAAAAAAATAACTATTCATAAGGATGGGTGTTTGAAGACTCTGCTGTAAACAATGTTGACATTGCTGAAAATGAGAGCTGATGCATGTCTCTGGCCATGGATGGACACTTCTTCATGGCACGTTTAGAACCCCTGTTTGCTTTTTTTGACTGATCCACCTCGACTGTGGGCTTTCAGAGAACCATGCAGCTGAAGACCTAATAAACAGAGATCAGAGATCATGTACAACTTTAGGACTTTTGAAAGGTATTAAAACTAAGTACCAAATACATCTCCTTTAGCTTAAAACTAAAATGCTTTTCTTTGTTGGTGTTTTTTTTTTTTTTTTTATTCTAATATCAACTGTGTTACGTATGACTTACGCAAGTTTGAGACAAGTGCCTGGCCATCCAAAAGAGGCAAATTTTATGCTTTCACAGTTGCTGCATTGCAGGCAACTACTGTATTCCTTGATATTTCATGAAGTGTTCAAGTCTACGAAGTTCTGCTGATTTCAATTTTTTTTTTGTTAATACGTCAGTCGAAACTCAGCTTGCATTTAAAGATACTGGGGTTGGATTTTTGGGGGGCGGGGGAGGGAGCAGATTTCAGTAGGAACCATTCCTGTCTTGCTTAAAAACCAGTTACTTCAGTTTAGTGCCTTTCAGTTGCCTCTTGTACCACTTGTAAGTGGTAGGAGGCCGCTCAGCTGCTCAACAAGCTAAAAGACCCCTCCTGTCCTCTGACAGTCACCCAGGTACTTGCTACCTTAACCCTTGCAGCTTCCATTAACTTTTGCAGCTTCACTCCTATCTTGTTAGTGTATTTTTATGTGGGGAATGCTGACAACTCTATAAGGAGTCCCAAACCACTGCGATGAAATGAATCCAGCGTCATTTGTCTTGACGGAGCTAGTTTTCAGAACGTGCACCTAATCCCCTGCTCTCTGTGCCACCCTTTCCAGGTGGAGGTGATACTTGGCATCAAAACAAAGTTAAGTTAACAGGGAGTGCTTAAAAAAAAAGCTGTTCCGGGGCACAAAAGTTAACTTTTTCTCTACTGTAGTCTCTGAACAAACTCCCTTTCACCTGACTAGACTAGAGTTTGTGTGTGCCATGAGGTAAAAAACCTAAATCTCTGCTGGTAAAGTTGAAATAAGTAAGGTTCATTGGTTGATTGTAACACTGGTGTACACGTGTGCAACTCGTCTTGTCTGCAGTGGACCTTCATTCTGCAGCCACATCAGCTTGCTGTGGGTGATTGCTAGTCACAGAGTTTCTTGGCAATGGATTTAAATGAAAGGAACTTACTTTTTCATTACCACAGATTTGTTTAATTTTTCTTTTTTTTTTCCCACAAGATTCTTAAAAGAAAAGGGGTGGAACAAAGCACAGAAATTAATTGCAAACCTGTATCTTGACTATCAGGGCCGTATTTTCCTTCCAATTGAGGGAACAGACGGAGTGAGGAAGTTGATAATGTTACATTCAGTTCTTAGGATGGGGAACCACCAGAGGTCATGTGTAGCACCTGAAACAATGCTTTTCACTTCCTGTCCTGTTCTTCAGCAGTTAAATTATGCTGATTCTCCTGAAGCAAATCTCTAGTTGAAGAGAAATGTTTGCTATTACTGTTATTAAGGAAACCAAATACATTGGACCAAACATGTTGCAGTTAAAATAGGGGGGTTTTTATTTACTGGTTGGATCATGGTCTGTGGCATCTGTATTTACCTCATCTCCCATTTAAAAAATAGATGTGCTGTTTTCTGTATTATTTCTCTATTTGTAGTTCGGTATTCTCTATGTTTAAACATGTGCATTTGTATATTAAATTAAATTTTCAGCTGCCCAGTGTGTGACTGTTCTGATCCTGTCTGATGAGACTGTTGCTACCTGCCAGGTGTTCCTTTACAAAGGAGAGCTGCACCTCATCCCGCTGTCAGAGACCCAGGAGCAGGAATGTGACCTATCTGCCACCACTCTGACAGTCTCGCAGGCGGTGACGCTGTTGTCCACCTGTTCAGAGGAGTTCCTGGCTGCAGAGCCCATCCCAACAGCAGTGTAGAAGCGCATCAGTGGGTATGTGGGTGTTTCATTTTGGTCTTCTGCAACAGTGAGTTTTGATTCTGGGCTGTCTGAGGTGCTTTCTTGTATTCAGTCGTTTTCCTGTTAGGTGTGATAAAGTTGCTTCCTTTTCAAAAACTAGTGTTTTTTCTGTGGTCTTCTTCTGAAGAGGGGGACTGTTGGAGAATGGCTCAGAGACAAGGGTCCTGTGCCTTTAGCCAGTAGATTGTAAGCCTGCATGCCTAAGTTGTGCCTTGTCATGTATTAAAATCTTTGAACGAACGTTGGCGCAGGCTCTGCTCATACAAAAAGAAAAAGGGGGAATTGTTGGAGAATGGCTCAGAGACAAGGGTCCTGAGCCCACCGAGCAATTGAATGATCAGAGCCTGCTCTAGCTGCTGATGCTGGGCCTCACTAGGGTTTGCCTGCAGCTGCTCGCAGCTGCTGATACAGGAGGAATGTCAAGGACGCTTCAGCCCTGTGTACCGTGGTGTGTCGAAAACAGGTTAAGGGGAATTAGGAATAGTAGTCTGAGAAACCTAGTGTTATGATAACGGTGGTCTGAGAAACACTGTGTTACGGTACTGTCGTGTATTGAAAACAAGTCAACAGGAATCAGAAATAGTAGCATGAGAAACTTAGTGTTATGAGAAGCTTGTGCTGTAAGCTAACTGCAAGTAGGTGGACCGTGCAAATACGACCTTTAGAGCTTAAGCCAATCAGCTAGTGACTAGTAGGCATAATAATTATCATTGTCTGTATAAATATATGTACCCTGGACCAATAAAGACACACGTAGATAGATGCTCTATCACCCACACTGAACCCGTCTCAGCGTGTCGTTCGTCCGCGGCTCCGCAAGTTGGCGCCCGAACAGGGACCTGCGTAGAAGAATAACACAGACGGAGCGGCGGACCCAGAAAAAAAACCCAGCAACGACCGAGGAATTTGAGAACGGACCCAGAGAAACACCAAATACAGCAGCGCTCAGGGTCCACGAGCTGAGACGGAGAGGTGCCGGCCCCGGCAGCCCCAGGGGAGTACGCGGAGAGAAGCCGGCTGGACCGGCCCTGGGAGCGGAGGTGGAGCGGCCCCGAGAAACGGAGGCGGAGCGGCCCCGAGAGTGGAAGTGACCAGCCCCGCAGAGCAGAGGCAGACCGGCCCTGCAGAACGGAGGTGACCGGCCCCGAGAGCGGGCGCGGACCGGCCCCGCAGAGCGAAGGCGGAGCGGCCCCGAGAGTGGAGACGGACCGGCCCCGGGATCGGAAGTGAATGGCCCCGCGAGCAGCAGCGGAAAAGGCGCCGGAACTGACGTAAGGAGCCGACGGCGGCAGCCACGGGAGCGGACGCGAAGGGACGCCACAGGCAGACGCTGAGCGGCCCCAGGGGTGAATGTAAAGGGACGCTACAAGCAAACGCTGAGCGGCCCCGGGGGCGGACGCGAGGGGGCGCTGGAGGCGAGCGCAGGGTGGCCCCGGAAGTGGAAGCGGGGAGGCGCCGGAACTGACGCAAAGGGGCGACGGAAGCTGACGCGGAAAGGTGCTGCACACAGCGGCGGCAGAAACAAACGTGGGGAAACATCAGAGACAGCAGCGCCTAGCCGAATCAAGGACGATCGCACAGTGGGCCTCCGACAGGTCGTTCTGAGGACCTGAACCGAGATAGAGGGTCGCTCTCTGCAAGGGCTGTTGGCAAGCACTGCAACTGGTGCCTTAGTCACGGAGCATCAGCAACATATCAAAGTAAGGGAGTATTTTTTAGTGCCTTAAACAGGGAGCACAAGCCGGCGGGAGTATTTTTTAGGGCCTTAAACAGGGAGCACAAGCCGGCGGGAGTATTTTTTAGGGCCTTAAACAGGGAGCACAAGCCAGCGGGAGTATTTTTTAGGGCCTTAAACAGGGAGCACAAGCCGGCGGGAGTATTTTTTAGGGCCTTAAACAGGGAGCACAAGCCGGCGGGAGTATTTTTTAGGGCCTTAAACAGGGAGCACAAGCCGGCGGGAGTATTTTTTAGTGCCTTAAACAGGGAGCACAAGCCGGCGGGAGTATTATTTTTTTTCCTTAAGCAGGGAGCAAAGGGCCGACAGTGCCTTAATCAGGGGCGGGTCGGCAGTAACGGTACTGTGCCTTATCCAGGGAGCACAGGACTGGAGGTGCCTTAAACAAGGAGCACCAGGTTGACAAGATGGAACAGGAGGTAGCCCTGGATTTATTACAGCGCTTTTTAGAAAAGCGGGGAGTGGATTGTATAAAATCACTCGCGCGTTTAGTAGCATTAGGACGGGTCAAAGGATGTTTTCAGGACCCTAATTCTCTTTTTGATGTCGACGAGTGGAGATATAATGATATTTTATGGGATATGGTAATTGATGACGATAAAGCTGCAAGGAAAATGATGAAACCATGGCGGGAGGTGGTGAATAATATTAAGCGGTATCGGCTTGAAAAGAACCTTGCAGCTGTAGCAACTACAAAGTTGGGGGGGGAAAGTTCCACTATTACCCCAGATAGTGAGGCATCCGGATCTATGCTTTTTGTACAGTGATCGTATTCCTGTACCATCAACAGGAGGGCCAGTTACAGTTAATGTGAATAGGGAAAGTCCGGAGGCCAGCCCCCCCCCAATATCTTTACAGTCGTGCCCCCCCCCACCCTCCCTTACCTCGGAAAAGGAGGGGAGGATGGAAGATAGCCACCCAGTGCAATCTGCTACAGTGAAAGCACAGGGCTGGCTATGTCATGTTGACTGGCGAAAGGTCATGCGTGAGGCGGCAGAGAAATCAGGCGGCGCGGGGGTACCGGGGGGAGCGGCGTGCCACTATAAACTCTGCCCGCCCCCCCCCCCCTTCGGATTGTTCCGCCCCTGACAGCGCGTCAGCGTCTGAGTCGGAGAGAAAAGCGGCGGCTCTGTCCTGAATTAAAGCACCAGGGTCACACATCGGTAAGGGACAGGGACAGAGTCCAAGAACTTGAAAGAAAATTACAGAAGTTGAGCTACAGAACAGAACTCTGCATTTACAATTACAAGAAAAGGAAGCACTGCCAGCAGCCCCGCCACACCCACTCCCGTCACCCTCACCAGAACCAGCTCCGCTTTTAGCTCAGCCCCGATGGAGTGGGGTGATTCGTGTTGCCTTGTTAGAAGGGGACAGGCATGCTGCTGGAGCGTTGGCCTGCCCGGTAGTGACAACGAATGGGGGACACCTGGGAACTCAAGATCACAAGATTCTCCTCGGGGGGTCTGGAGACTCCTTACGAACTTTAGAATTCTGAACTGTCATTTGGGTGTTTCAACATCAACACTGGTATCAAAAACTTGTTCGTGTAGTATCAGGTTCATTGTATGGTGTTTCAACATCAACACTGGTTTCAAGAACTTGTTCATGTAGTATCAGATTCATTGTATGTTGTGGGTTCGTTGCAATGTTTAGAACATAGCATGGTGAAACCTGTATTACATTCTGTATTGCATACTCTGTTGTTACAATTGCTGACACTTTTAAAACTGTAAGGGTGGTTTTCTTGCTACATAAGACTGAATAAGATTGGAACATGGACTGACAGACTGGTTACGAGACTTGGGAATTTGGAAAATGGACTGATGATGGTTCTAAATCTACAAAGCCTGGAAATTACTGGGTGGCTGAAAGCTTTGTTGATGCATGGACTGGCAATGCTGATTGTCATTATGATAGTCATGATGGTATTGGGGTCTGTGTGGAAATGCTTTATGAATGCTATGATTCAAACGTTAAAAGGAGTCTGGATTGTCCAAAAAAAGAAAAAGGGGGAAAACCTGGTAGGAGTTTTTTTTTGGGGGGGGGGATCAGGGTTATGCACTGATCCTACAGGGTTTGGACAATCCAGGCTGGGTCTCTGAGCAGAAAACTGCCCCGTGGTAATCCTGCCCTTGGGGTCACCTGGAAGGGCAAGAAGGAGGAAGTCAATCTAGTGCTTCCTCCCTGTTTGAATGCCTGGATGCACTAACCACAAAGTAGATTTAGTTTGTTCATGCGTACTAATGATGCAGACCTATCACAGCACTTCCAGGTGCGTGATAAGTGCCTTTAGCCAACACATTGTAAGCTTCCATGCTTAAGTTGTGCCTTCTCATGTATTAAGAAAATCTTTGAACGAACGTTAGGGCAGGTTCTGCTCCTACAAAAAGAAAAAAGGGGAATTGTTGGAGAATGGCTCAGAGACAAGGGTCCTGTGCCTTTAGCCAGTAGATTGTAAGCCTGCATGCCTAAGTTGTGCCTTGTCATGTATTAAGAAAATCTTTGAACGAACGTTGGCGCAGGCTCTGCTCATACAAAAAGAAAAAGGGGGAATTGTTGGAGAATGGCTCAGAGACAAGGGTCCTGAGCCCACCGAGCAATTGAATGATCAGAGCCTGCTCTAGCTGCTGATGCTGGGCCTCACTAGGGTTTGCCTGCAGCTGCTCGCAGCTGCTGATACATGAGGAATGTCAAGGACGCTTCAGCCCTGTGTACCGTGGTGTGTCGAAAACAGGTTGAGAGGAATTGGGAATAGTGGTCTGAGAAACCCAGTGTTATGATAACGGTGGTCTGAGAAACACTGTGTTACGGTACTGTCGTGTATTGAAAACAAGTCAACAGGAATCAGAAATAGTAGCATGAGAAACTTAGTGTTATGAGAAGCTTGTGCTGTAAGCTAACTGCAAGTAGGTGGACCGTGCAAATACGACCTTTAGAGCTTAAGCCAATCAGCTAGTGACTAGTAGGCATAATAATTATCATTGTCTGTATAAATATATGTACCCTG